ACTCGATTGATACGTTTAGTAGGTATTGGTGAAAAAACAAAAAAAGAACGAAAAAATCTTTTTTTTTTTTGTAAAAAGATTTCCCTTGGTGACCTGTGTTAGCAAATTTGCTTTTTAGAATAGAATAGAAATATCAACTTTATTCTGGGACAAAGTTCCTTAAAAATAACAATATTTTTCATACAAATTAGCATTACATCTGGTCAAAAGATTTAATTCATAAAAGAATAAATGAAACATAAGTAATAAAATAGGTATATACATAGTTTAAAGACATATTAATGAAAGCAGGTGAGCAATAGGATCACAATATTGAAGTATTGCTGCTTAAGAAAAATAAAACAAAATAAGTAAATAAATAAAATAGGAAAGGAACATTAAATTAATTTTATGAGAAAATCTACGTAGCAACAAAAAGAAAAAAATCTAAAGACATGGAAGTAAAGAAAACAAATTATTTATATCTGTTACTTAAGAGCTTTGAACGGATACACACAATATTATTATTTTATTTTATTCTTCCCTTGCCTCTCGGCAATACAGATTTTTGGTAGAAGTAGTTGATACTTTTACCACTTATCTTCAGGTTCATCAGTCTTCGTTAGTGGAGGTTGAGTTGATCATCCCCGACTACTTCCTTCCACCCGTACACGAATGCTTACTTACTAGCTGAGGGAAATTGTCCTCCGTGATGATGTAGAGTCCGGTTTCTCTCAGAACTTTGGTCCTTATTGCTACAAAAGCGGTGCAAGTCGTGACGATATACTCAGCAGTTTCCGGAACACCACAACAGGGACATAAGGGATTACTTTCTTTTCCAGAGTCATAAAGCTTGGCTCGAAAAACACCCATGTCCTGTTAGGAATTGTGACACCCAATAATCAGGAAGGACCCATTTCGCTTTCAACCTTGAATAGACGGTAGGAAGGTATTTCCTCAAGGTAGAGCCTTTATGAGTAGTTACCCACCGTCGATTTCACTGCTCAATGGTGTCCTCCCCTATTATTCTTTGCCATTTAGATTGATCTGCCGCAATCCTTTCTTGGAGATGTTCCGGAAGACTTGCTGAGCTTTCTTTCTTAAAGATATACTTAACTTGTCACCTTGCAGGAGAAGGTCAAGGGGTAACCCTCCTTTACTACTAGCAGCACAATACTTTATAACAATACACAATAGTAATGCAAGCAATTAAATAATATAACAAAAATATATACATAGTGAGCAATGGAAAAATAAAATATATAGAATCTTGTTAATAGAAAAAAAAAATATATATATTTTTTCTTTTCATCACAATGCTATGTCCAAAGCATATGCACGCTATACCTGCACAATATACATGTATATATTTCTTTCCATCTTTTTTTTTTAATTGAAAATTTCTAATGAATTTCGAAAATAAAGGTGTCCTGTTGCTAACAGTTGACAACAATATTCTTCATCTACTACTATAGAATATATCATAGATATAACAAAAAAATCACATTTCTGATTTAAGAAAGTATTAATCAAGAATTATTATTATTGTTAATTAAAAAATTTCGTTCAAAAATAATGATCAGGATAGTATTTTTGTCACTTATGATCAAAAATAAAAATCACTCTTAATAAAAATCATCAAATGATTTTTAAAAATTTGATCAGATTTGATTTTTTAAATTATCGATTTCAAACCCTGTTGAAAAGTGATGTGAATTTTTTTTCAGTTCATAAAAAATAAATAAATAAAAATAATGTAAAAAATAAAATACACAGAATTTTATATATGGCAAAACACAAAAATGTAAACGTTGACACACATAAAAAATATTTTTTTTTTTTAAAGACTGCGTTCTGAATGTTTATCACCCTTGGTATGTAGAACAGTCAACTAGCTTCCTTCGATAATTCAAAAAAATTAAAAACAAACAATTTCCTCTTTTTCATTTCTCCATCACAATGCTAATTCAAAAGTGATACGGATTTTTTTACTATTCATAAAAATAAAAAATCTGTAAAAAATAAACTAAATCTCAACTCCATAAAATCTTGTAAATGGAAAAAATAAAATCAAACAACTGCTTATTTTTTTTCTTCATCACAATACTACGTCAAAAGTGATATGGAATCTTTTTCTTAAAAATATTCCAATTCATAAAAAATAATTGAATGAAAAAAATAAAGAAATAAATAAAACCTTCTTACATAATAAATAATTAGCCAATATCTGATTGGAAGAAGAAGAGGCTACTAAGAGGATTTTAAATGTGGATAAGAATAGTGCATAGTGGATTTTAAGCGAGATGGAATTCCAAAACGTGATAGAACGGACAATACAGGAGTTTTGAAATAAAGCAAATCTTTGGAAAGGGGTGTAGAAGTCAGAAGGACGAGATCTTGTGAAGATAGAATGGATAGATAATATAATTAAAGGACATTGTATACATAGACGATTATTGCATATTTATTAAGGGAATGTGTCTAGGAAGTATTGTCTTCTGAAGGAGAGGAAGAGCCACTCTAACTCAGATAGTAGTGGGAAACATGAGAGTGTCTCGGGGTTTCATTGACAAATCTTACGATGCTATTCATGATTCTTTTTAGTTTGCATCCGAATTCCACCGAGAGGCCTCCATACACCACGCAGCAGTAGTCAAGGTGCTGAAAGATGAGGGAGGATACTAGTAGTGGTTACGGGCAAGAGATGGCGGAAGCGATGGAATAGTTTAAGGATACAAATTGGCCGTCGAGAGATGTGGGCTTTATGGTGAGTCCAGGAGAGGGTTTGGTCAAGGAAAGTGCCTAGGTTTTTAAACGATTTTAATTATTACTAATGATTTTAATTAGAGCGGATTGTGTGGAACAGGCTGGTCGAAAACAGATTGATAAGGATGTTCAAGAAAATTTAAAGCTTGTGATCGCACTATTCTTCCCATGGGTTTTGAAAGATTGGAAGGATTGAGATTGGGCGGAAATCTTTGGGGGAAGACGTGTTAGAATTTTTATTTAAAGGGCGGGCCGTGGCTTTTTTCTATGAGGTAGGGAATACTGAGTTTTTAAGTGAGAAATTATAGATGAAAATGAGAACCGAAAGGATTTTATGCAGGCATAATTTCATTAATTTGACGGAAATGTCATCTGGACTAATAGAATTTCATCATGGTGGATATGAAGTCTATGGATGAAATATTCCCTCCCCCCCTAAGAATATTACTGGATCGTCCACTGTCTTGGGGTTCAAGTAGAAATTTTTTCAGCCTTTTCAAATTAAAGAATAGTGTGGTAACCATCACGTCGTTCATGGGGTTATCAATACCTACGTACTGTAGACATCTTGTTTTATTTATCTTGAAAAATTAGAAGCCTCATGAACCAAACCTGTTCTTATGCGGTAAGTCGAGAGTCTTTCTGAATATGTGGGGTTATTCTAAAAATCAAACACATTTTTTTAGAAAGATCTGGGTGTTTTTACATCTATATTAAAAATGACTGTGACGTTCATGAGATTTACAATTACATGTAGGCCACAGAAAAGGATTATTTTGTATCATGTTAATATTAGTTCTAAATTCGTAAAAAAGACGAATAAAAACGTTTGCATTGTCGAAACGCTCCATGTATAAGTAAACTAATTACAGAGGCATAACACTTCTTCCGATTCCCTACAAGATAATGACCAATATCTTACTAAATCGGATAGATCCGTATTACAAAAATATATTAAGAGAACACCAAGCTGGATTCGGAAAAGGGAGGAGCACGCTTGTCCAGATCTTCATCCCAAAACAAACACTCAAAAAACGATGGGAAGTAGCTCAGGATGTCCACGCCATGTTATGCCATATTCGTCGATTTCAAAGCAGTCTATGATTCTGTGGGCAGGAACTGTCCGTGGGAAATCATGACGACTGGAAGTTTCCGGTAACTTTATGAAATTGACAAAGGCGTGTACATATAACGCTAAATGTCGAGTCCTAATATAAGAAGAAGTATCTAAAATCATTAAAGTTCGAACAGAATCACACGAAGATGGAGGGGTCCATGTCGGAATGAATCATAAATCCATGGATATAATCAAGAGGACATTGAGAAATTCGCCAATCCTCTGATAAGAGAAGCTGAGTAAATCGACCTACAACTAAATGAAAATAACAAAATATCGGACAATAAGCCGATAATTTCACCTCAAAAACAGGATCTACGTAGAAGAAAAATCGTTACGAGTGAAGAAAAATTCAAATATTTCAGCCCCGTAATAACTTAAATGAATGATCGGTCAGAAATAGTCCAGCGTATAACAAGCGCAAACAGAGCTTTCTTTTCCCTTTCGAAGGTATAAAAAACTGTAAAATCTCAATAAATTTCAAACGGAGGGAGTAAAATGCTATAATAAACCCAGTTCTAATATCTGGCAGTGAGACTTAAAACACTTACTAGCGTCCTCGAAAAAGTATTGAAAGATTAGAGAGAAAAATCATCGCACTATAACCAGAGTGATCTGGAATCTACTAACACATGAAGAAGAAAGACCAATAAAGAGCTGCTTATAGAAACATATGTAACAATATCTCATGGTATGAAAGCTCGGAGGTTAAGATAGACGGCGCATGTAGCTCGGAGCAATCTATCTGGAAGCCTCAACACGACAATGAATGCTTCAATAGTAGACAAAATAAAACGCGGAAAGCCAAAAGGCAGATATAGATATCAGCATAGATGGAATCAACAAAGACGCAATAGAGCTGCGTGGAGTTAACTGGAAAGAAATAGCTAAAGATAGGCAGAGATGGAATAGGCTAGTTAAGGTGGCAAAAGATACACAAAATCTGTAATCCAAATAGAAAACAAATATTAAAATTAATTTTTCAAAAAATCTTTAACAACAATATTACCCCTCCCCTTCTTATCCATTATTAAATATTTCAATGTTAATTAATGAAAATTTAGCTTAAATATTATTAACGTTAACAGTTTTTGTAATTTTCATGAGAAGATATTGAACTTTTTTTTTACAGTTTGCTGTTTGTATAGAATTTTTATTTTTCGAACCTGATTTAGTTTTTTCCCTCCTCACTTGTGCAGAAGCTTGGGACTTCACGTCGGTATTCGTTTGTTTACCTTTAAGGTTGAAGGTTCTTCGTGTTGTGGTTCGCTTTTCTTGATTCTATAGTCTGGTTAACAACATTTGATCCAGCGAGAACAAACTTGTGAGTGTTAGTTTTATTTACAGTTGTGGGTTTAATTGAAGTTCATCAATTGTCTAAGATTTTTGAATTTCTTTAATCCTGTTTTTGTTAAAATTATATTTTAAGATTCTAATCTTGTTAAAGATGGAAAAGCATTTTTTGAAATTTTAATTTAACACAGGCTCCAAAAGGGTATTGCTAATTTTAGGTGGGTAAGCAGTAATGGTTGAAAGATCTAAAAGCATGGCATGCCTTTATTGCTTTTTCTTGTGGATAAAACGTTTTTAATAGTTAATGTTTTGGGTTTACTGATATTGTTAATCATTCAAAAAATTTCAAGGTATGTCCTATAAAATGTAATGCATTTCATATAAGACAAAATACTTTACTATAACAACAGATTATTACAGTTCGACATATTATTCTTTATTGTTTTTATTTTTGCTAAAAATTTTTATTATTACAAGAGATAGTAAGTTGAAATTTTGTTCTTTGTTATTTTTATGTATTCTACTTTTTTATCATTTGAATATTTTATGTCAAAATGTAGTGAATTTCTTGTTTTGTTTTATCTTTCGCTTACTTCACAATTTTCATATCCATAACAATACCTCCAACTTTCTTAGTATTATAACCTTAAATTATGCTTAATTATTGATATGATTTGTAATCATAACATAATTACTTATCTTTAAATTTAGATTTGCTAAAAAAGAGTATTGCCCAGTCAGATGTTAAGTTCATAGGATTAATTGAAATCTATGTTCTTTTGTTGTTCAACCTCATTCAGTCCATGTCACCCCGTTTTAAATTGTTTCTATCAATTTCTTTTATGCTTAATTTTTTATTAGACTCCTGACTTATCATTTTTATGCAATTCAGTTTCCTTATCAATTCCATTTCATGCTTAGTATTCTTTCAATGGTATCTGAGTAGCCTGTCATTACACCTGATCGGTGTGTGTTATTGTGGTTACAGATGTTCTCGAGTTACTCACCCTCTATTTACCAATTAAGAAAACCTAAGAGCTAAGACAAAAAACTTGAGAAAAAAATGAAAAAATCTGTTGCGCGCATCTCACAACTTTCACTTACTGCTCTATTTCGAAAAGCAATTTTTGTCTGAAAAAATTGGGTATTACAAGTTTTTAATGCAGCTAAACAATATATATTATTGAATTCAGTCACATCTATCAATATAAAAAATCATTAAGATCATCAAAATAAACTAAACTAATTATTATATCGATTGTAGGCAATAAAAACCTTATAACTGCATCAGTCTAATTAAATCTCATAACTCCTGTCGCTTAGCTCTATAGAGTTAAGATACTGGAATAAGTAGAATCGTACTAAATCGTAAAAATTTTAGTTATTAAATCTCTTATCACTTTTAACTTGTATTTAAATTCTTATTTTTTACCCTTGGAAAATTTGCCAAAATATAGTTACTTGCTTTTAAATACAATATTGATAGGTCAAAAGTCTTCACACTAATTATAAGTGTATAATATTGTGATTTCTCAATGGAAATTTTTTTTGGAGTAAATCGACGATGTATGCCTAATTATTTAAATATAATATAAGATCTAGAGTTATTAAACTACAATAAATGTATTTAAGGTTATAAACATATGTTTTAAACATCCATGAAATATTTTTATATTTCACTTCTTCTTAAACATAAGTACAATGAAATAATTTTTTAAACAATGCCATTGCGTTGATTTGGAAGATGTTAAACACATATTTTTCAAACTTAAAAATAATTTTAAATTTTTACATTGAGTTAAGAAATTTCATTTAATTTCCTTGGAAATATGTGATTTCCATTATAGAATATTAGTTTTCACAAATTATTACTTATAATTTTTCCTAACTCTTCATTACCTTCTACGACTTTCTACATTAGATACTGTTTTTTTTTTTCTAAAATTCTCCACTTTCCAACGATATGTAACATGTATACCTTCTGATTATTATTTCCGAAGATTCATTTTCGACCTGGATAAGCATTTTTTTTTTTTTCTCCTTTATTCAACTATCAAATTCTTTCAAAAGTTATATTTACCCATTTTTTATAGTTACTGTCAACAAGAAAGAATTATTTTTTAAAAACAAAGCAAATTAAAGATATTTTAGAGGAAGGCAGATATGAACATTGTACATTTAAGCCTATAAAGTGACATCAATGTGGATTAGACCTAGCTGATATTAAATACCACTTATTTACAAACATTCAAAGAAAGAAAATGCTTCTTTAATTTTGGATTAAATACTTTTTTTTTTTTAAATAGTTCTTTATTTCACATTATGTTTTATATTTATTTCAAAAAAATTATTTTGGTATTTTACATTTATGAAAAAATATATATATATACATCAACATCTTAAATTACATTTTATTTGTTTTAGAATAAACAAAATAGCAAATGAACCTTTCCCTCACTTTTTAAATTGATTAACACTAGTAGGCCCGTGCAAAAAATTCACACAGCATATTCTTATATTGTTATTTGTAGGGAATTTCGTAATCTTTTATATAATCATGGGCATAACCAAGGGAAAAGTGTGTAATTTTTTAGTTATTCACAAATAAAATTTCTTTTCTTTCATAACTAGTTTGCCTGAATTTTCTGAGTGATTGGACTATTTTGCCCCCCTGAAGGAGAAGGAAGCCTTCGAAATTGGTGGCTCAATCTTGAGATTTGGTGAAGAATTAACAATGATATGGCTTGCCGATCAAAAACACCATCGTTAAGTAATATAAACTCCTGTCTCGATCATAGAGATCTCTATCATAGAGAGTCGACGAAATGAGACATGTATTCAATGACAGTACTACAATTAACGTAAGGTTGTGTAGATGTGAACCCTTATCTCAAAAATACTACATTTTTGGGCTTAAAAACTCAGGATCCGATAGTTCCCGAGGAATATCTGGGTCTTGCTGTACGCATCAAAATCTTCTAGGTCCAATTTGTTCCACATCGATCTACAGACCTACCACGATTCCTGGATTGAAGCCTAGCAAAATGTTTTTATTGACTTTATTTATTTTAGAAAGAAAAACAAAAGTGGAGAATATGATTTGCTAACCCCCCATGAAATTTTGAATCCAACGGTGTACCCCATTCATGGTATTTGAACATGACAGGAGCTTATATTTGGTACAAAACTGATTTCGAGCCTTACTGGAATAATATATGTGTGGATTAATAAATGAATAGCCTATTATATCTTAAAGTATCGATTTCATGTAGAAAGGTAAATAATAATCTTAAAATGTCTAGAAACAAGGGCTGGAGGGGTAATATCGGTCTAGTGGTTATGTCAGAGCTCGATTCCTCCCCACTGCTTTCCCTCTGTGTGAGCGAACCTGGTAGTTTTATAGACCTTAGACTATTTTTTATTTGCAGAAATTCTCAGGAATATTTTTTTTTTATCATTAAATTAATTAAGTTAATGAGGGACTATATAATCATGAATACTCATTTGTTTTCCATTATCATCTTAAGATAATTTTATAACAAAATCAAGAAAAAAGGTAACTTACAATAATATTGAAATGTTTGGTCTATATGACCACGTTATTTTGTGATGTGGTTGGGGGGTCATACCAAATGGCTCAATATTTCTGTAAGACCTTTTTTCTCAATTTGTGATCAAATTATCTTACGATACAAGTGGAAAGGAAATGGATGTTCATGAGTTTTTAATACCTAATTAAATAGACCAAGTTTACTGATCTATTGATTGCAATACATTGAAAACTCCCAATTATCTAAATATTCATAATTAAAAAAGATATCTATAATAAAAATATAAGATAAAAGAGGATTTAGGATGAATGTTAATAATTTGATTAAATAGGATCTGTACTGCAGACTAATGTTAAAAATCTGGTGTGTGCAACACACAACTTTCACTTAACCCTCTTTTGAATAGAAATTATTTTCTAGCAATGTTGAGGTATTATAAAATTTTTGAACTGCATTTTAAACGGTACAACGGTAGGCAACAAAAATCTAGTTTTATAAACCACATAACTTCAGTTGCTGAGTCTTTCAATTGAATAACTATAATTTCAACATTTTTGATTAATGTCATTTTAATGATATTTCCAGTTGAAAAAGTTATATCTATACAGACAGTGAGTAAGTTGATTCCAGAGTATGTGATTGCAATATTAGAAAATAGAACTGTGTATAAAGGTATAAATTTTGCCATAAGAAACATCACTAAAATTAATAATAAAGAATGTTGAAATTGGAGTTAGTCATTTTGACAACCAAAAGGTTCATATATGCCTAGAGAGATTTGAAAGTACATCTGAATATTTAACCTATAAATGATTATGGATCGTAGGACTATTAGTTATTAAACTGTTATTTTCCATTGTAAAGTTTACTAACATGAAATTATGAGATTTTCATTGCCTGCCATGGATAGGTTAAAAGTTGTCACACTAATTGTAAGTGGATAATATTGGGATTACAAATTGAAAAAATTCATCAGATTGTTCACTAATTTAATTTTCTAAAAGATTACTTGATGATTTTTCGGAATTTACGGCTAATAGATACCTAATTATTTACATATAATATATCTAGAATTATTAAACTACAACAAAATTATTTATGATCATAACCATATGATTCTTTCAAACAAGTACAATGAAACAGTATTTTAAACAATAGCATTTTAATAGGATTTTAAGTACTTAGAAAAACTTAGGAACAACTTTAAAAGTTTACATTTAGTAAGAAAATTTCATTTGAAATATGTGATTCCCTATAAATAATGTTAGTTTTCTGAAATTATTATTTCTATACACTGAAAGGCAAAAAATTCCACCCACTTGTAAAAAAAGTTGTATTTGTATATAATACATGGTATTTGTAGATAATACTTGGTATTTATGGAATTTTATAATCTTTTTTACCTTTAATAATCAAAATGTGATTGGGTAAGAAAGATTAGAGAAAAAAAAATTGAAAAACGAACCATTATTATTCTAAA